AAAAAATAGATACAACAGAAAGTAGCGGTGCGAATAAAGAAAAGAGCGAAAATGAAAACACCAACAGTGTGCGCTACACAAATAGGCACAAGTGCGATTTTTGTGTACTAGTGGACACTTCTAAATCTACAATGATCGAAAACGACAAAATGCGAAATGGTCTCTTCCTGTGGGACAAAATAAAAAACTTTAATATTTTAGGAATAAAAAAAATAAAAGCAATAGGTAGGTCGCTTTATAAAATTTTTTTTGAAAATTTCGAAGCAGCAAACAAATGCATAGACAACCCGGACTTACTCAAAAATAATATGAGACCGTTCATACCCAAAAGCATGGTGGAAACCACCGGAGTAGCGAGGCAAATTCCACTTAATTTCACGGAACAGGAAATAAAGAACAATATAGTTTCAGACATACCGATCACATCAATTACAAGGATTACCAGAAGAGACCCTAATGACAAAGAAAAATTCATCCCGACGTACTCTGTAAAGATAGCCTTTGAAGGTAACGAGATACCAGAATCAATTGAAATATTCTATGTAAAGATAAAAATTGTCCATTATATCCCAAGAATTAGACACTGCTATAACTGCGGAAGATTAGGGCACACCAAAATGGCGTGCAAAGCAGCAAACAGATGTATAGTTTGTGGTAAAGCAGAGGGCTGCAATAGCAAATGTAACCAGAACACAAAATCATGCATACTATGTGGAGGCGATACCCACAACTCACTCGAAAGTAGCAAATGCTCCGTATGGGCAAAAGAAAAAAAGGTAGTAGAAATAATGACCATTAAAAAGGTATCCAAATCAGAGGCAATAGGGATGTACAATCTCAACAATAATAACAGATTCTCTGCTTTAGACGATTTTGAAGGGAACTTCCCTCATTTAGATACAAAAAAAACAGTAATGATCAATAACGACGAAGTGGTTAACAAAAAACTCACTACTACCAAATACAATCAAGTCGTAAAGAAAAATATTCCACAAGTATCCGCACCACCAAAGCCAACCTACAACGCCCCGAGAGTTAAAGCAAGCATACAGCCTGTATATGAAATGGCGAACTGGAGTAAGGTTACAGAGATAGAGAGGCTAGTAAATCTTCTAATAAAAAGGTATAACATTGATATAAATGACCCATTAGTTAACCTTATTCAAAATATAGGCAAAGTACACATACAAGACAAAATTTCAATTAGCAATGATGACCAGTTCGATAAAAATATTACAATATAACATACAAAGCTTAAAAAGCAATAAAAACTATGTAGACCTTTTTAATAGTAACAACAACATTGATATAGTATGCCTTCAGGAGATTTTCTCACATGACAACCAAACAACAATTCATAACCTATTCAACTTCAACTTGCTTAGAAAAACCAGAACCGACGGCTACGGTGGTGTAGGAATCGGATTCAGAAAAGGTATTAAATTCACTAAAATCAAATTTGTCTCCACTTTTGACATCCTTATAGCTAAAACCACTAATTTAATCAGAAACATAACAATTTGTAATATATATTTCCCTCCCAACATCAACACTACTATTTTCACTAACGAACTAAATCGTGTACTTATCGCACTAAACAACCACGAAAACGTTATTCTTGCTGGCGATCCCAATGCTAGACATCAGGCATGGGGAGACAGAATATGCAACTCCAAAGGAAGCATTATTATCAACGAAATCAGCTATACAAACCTTCAATGCATCAACACCGGAACTATTACCCACCGTACCGGAAACAGTGCCGGGTCTGTAATAGACATAACGTTCACAAATATTAATAGCAGTTTGATAAAATGGCAATGTCACCAAGTACATCTAGGAGGCAGCAAGCATTTTCCTATCACCATAGAGATAACAAACACCGGAAAGAAACCCAACTTCTTTATCCCCAAGAAACAGCTGGCTAGGGAGTTAGCGCAGGTAAGCTTTGATGATCTAGAAAATTTCACAAATGTGATTGACAATGTCAAGAATAAAATAAAAATTGATTTAAATAAGGCTAATCGCACTCCTAAAGAATGGTGGAGCGAGGAACTCAATAAACTCTACAGACTACACGTGGCAAAACGAAAAAAAGCAAATCATACTAACCGCATAGAAGATATGGAGGAATCAATTAAGGCAACCGGTGACTGGAAAGACGCAGTGAAGAAAGCAAAAAAATCTAGCTATAACAATAAAATAGAAGAAATCAATGCTAACCCTAATTCCAAAAATGCATGGAATTTCATAAGAAATGTTAAAGGAAATAAAAGGCCATTGCACAACTGGGCAGCCGAAGACGACCGCAACTATTTAGAAATTATAAAAGAACAAGCGGAACAGGCTAGCAATCACAATATCACGTGTTGTCCATCATTCGACGCGTCTCCAAGCGCGTCAAACGGGAGCATTGATTTCTCATACATGAAATTTGAAAAATTACTAGCGAAGAAAAAATCAACAGCTGGGGGGCTCGACAGGGTCACATTCAACATCCTAAAGCAACTGTCTACCGAGGCGAAGCAAAATTTACTAACATCCTTGAGAGAACACTTTCACAGCAACAGAGTCCTAAATGCCTGGAGATTAATAAAAGTAATACCAATCCCCAAAGCAAATAAGAGCACAGATGACATAAACAACTATAGACCAATTTCACTAATATCAGTAGTAGCCAAAAGCATAAATATGATGGTTAAGGAATCGCTGAACGATTTCCTAGAAACTAACAAAAAGTTACCCAACAATAGCTATGCTTACCGTAAACTAAGATCAGCGACGATGTGCATCAATGAGATGCTTCATCTAGTCGCGGATAAAAAGAACAGTAGAAACTTTGTTTTTATATGTTTTTTAGATATGTCGGATGCCTACAACAGAGTTGACTTAGTAGCACTTTACAATATTCTATTACAGACTAACATAGAAATATCAATAGCAAACTGGACGTATAACTTTTTCTCCAAAAGGACTCTTACCTTAGGAAAACATGCCGTAGAAATACACTCAGGCTTACCTCAAGGTAGCTGTTTATCTCCAACATTATTTAATATATATACAGCCCAACTACACGAAATCAACAATCCTCACACGCACCTATTTCAATTCGCTGACGACCTAGCCATAGTATCCACAAACTCAAACAAAACAGCAGCAGTTCAAAATTTACAAGATAAAATAGCAGAATTACAGGTAAAGTGTCATAACTTAAATCTAAAGTTCAACTTAGAAAAGACAAAATTCATGTATATGTCCGCAAATAACCGACAACAGTTCAACATATCAATCAACAGCACAAACTTGGAACAAGTCCAATGCTTTAAGTGGTTAGGAAGAACCATCAGCGCAAACTCAACGGTCAAGGTACATATTAGCAACATTAAAAAAGCTGTAACTCCAGGTAAAAACCTCATTTCGAAATTAACATCAATTAAAGCAGGAATCTCCCCTAAAACCTCAATAAATCTGTTTAAAGCATTCGTCCGGTCCAAAGCTGAATATGCCAGCACCAGTTACGCCAATGCACCAAAAGGTTACAACAAGCAACTTCAAACGAGCGTTAATGAAACGCTACGGAGATGTCTAGGAATACCACCTAACACCCCAACACTTATGCGATACGCGCTAGCCTGCGAACTCCCACCTCTATCTAGAGCAGTGTGGCTGACAGCTAAAGAACTGGTCAAACAATGGTTCCTCAACCCGGCACTAAGAACCCAATTACAAGACAAACCGGCCATAAATTCAAGCTATAGTAGAACATATGAAAAATTCAAAGTAACCATAAACAACATAGACACAAATGTTGCCTTTAACAGACATAACAATATTACCCTTTTTCAATCTGAATTATCGAACTCAAAAAAAAATTTCTCCTCCACACAACTTAGAGCAATTTATAACCAAAAAATCAACACTTTGAAGGATGATGGCTACTACATATATGCGACTGATGCATCGGTGATGGCAAACAAAGTTGGATGTGCAGTGTACGTGGAAACAACCAATGTCTCATACCTTTTTAACATAGACGGAAATTTTACCTCAACCTACGGTGAGCTAGTTGCACTATCTCAGGCAGCTACAATAGCAAGCAACAGCGGGAACAAAAAGATAGCAATTTTCACAGACACCCAGGCAGCAATCAAAGCCCTCGACAATCACACCACACAGAACTTCCTTGTGGCAGAAATTCACAACAAACTACACAGATCCAACATTGAAAACATAATGATAGTATGGACACCCAGTCATGTTGGGATAACTATAAACGAAAAAGCCGACATTGCTGCAAAAACTGCAATTGATTTCGGTAAATCTCTCTCTCCTAAATTAAGCCCAAATGAAGCACTCCTAAAAATAAGCACCAGACTGTGGACTGAAACCAAAGACGAATTTAACAACAAACTACCAAACTGGGACCCTGACATTGCGGAATTTTGTACATTGAAAATAAACAATCCGTGGTTTAAAAACAAAAAACTGAACTTAGAAGCATACGACATAAAACTATTTAACAGAATTGCAACAGGACATACATACGGTAATACGTACTTAAACAAATTTCAGCATTACAGGTCAGATACCTGTAATACGTGCAACACTAAGGAAACGGCGGAACACCTTATATTCGACTGCAGTGCTTACAGAACTCTAAGAATTGAGTATACGCTTTTCCAAACGTACCACAACTTCAAACAAATTCTGCT